CAGAACTTCGTCGGACAAGGTCTATTTCTTCCCATGCATTTGTGTGGGATACTGAACCATGGGTCGAGGAGTGCAGGCAGGATGTTTTTTCGGCAACAGGCACAACTATTTCTTGGAGTTCGTTGAAGTGATCTATCGCGTCCGGCGAAAAGAATCCTTTTCCAGACGGTGGGTTTCGATAGGGGGAGTTTCACCGTCACCTCACAGGCATCCGTCATCCCCGAGGAGAATCTTCGCCGGCGTGTGATCAAAGAGCCTTCCTGCCGTTGACGCCTGCGCTTTTTGTCGAACCGCGCAGGCCCGAGCACACCTCGCCCTGGGGCCCTTGCGTAGGACTTGATCATGAGTTCCTTGATGGGGGACAAGAAACGGGCACTCAGGGGTGCGATTCTAGCGAAAAGAGAATCTCTTTCGTCCACCCTGGTTCACGCTTGGGGAGAGACGATTCAGCGCTTCGTACTCGCGCTCCCTGCTTACCGGTCCGCGGAAGCCATTGCGCTTTACAGTCCGGTGGGGAACGAAGTCGAGACAGCGGAGATACGCCGCGGCGCCTTGGCGACAGGGAAGCGGCTGTACTATCCGAAGGTTACGGGCGGTTGTTCACGTATCGTGGAGGTGCGGTCGGAGGCGGAGCTCGTTCCCGGCCGGTACGGGATTCGCGAGCCGGTGGGAGGTCAGCCGTTGCCTCGTCGCGGTGATGGCGGACTTGCGGTTTTCGTTCCGGGCGTGGCCTTTGACCGCAACGGCAACCGTCTGGGTCGCGGGACGGGCTGGTACGACCGTCTGTTGGGCGGTTTGGATGCTCGTGTTCCGAGGATCGCTTTGGCCTATGAATTCCAGTTGCTGGAGGAAGTTCCCGTGGAACGGGGAGATTGCCGGTCCACACCATCGTGACGGAGAAGAGGGTCATCGCATGCGATAGCATGGAGGATCGCGTGGATGTGCCGGGCGGATAGACCTTCATATCGTTCCCATGCTTCCGGGAGGTAGCTTGTTTTGCTTACATGGTCTTCTTTAGTTCTGGGTCTTGTACTGGGTTGCCTGCTGACCGTCGTTGTACTTTTGATCCGAAGGAAGCAGCACCAGGTCCAATGGGAGCTGGATCGAAACACCGCCGCGCGTATCTTGGACGAGGCGCGGAGGGAAGCCGATGCGATCCGCAAGGAGGCGGAGATAGAGGCCAAGGATGGGGTTTTACGGGCGCGCACCGAGTTCGAGAACGATATGCGGGAGACGCGCAGGGACCTCCAGTCGCTGGAGAGGAGGTTGCTGACCAGAGAGGAGGTTCTGGACAAACGTCTGGAAGGCCTGGACAACCGGGAAACCAGCCTTTCCAACCGGGAAGGAGCCATCGAAAAGAAAGAGCACGCACTCGATGAGAAGGAGGTGGAGTCCCGGCGTCTCGTTGACGAGGCCAAGCAAAGCTTGAAATCGTTGCCGGTATCAGCCGCGAGGAGGCGAAGAAGAGCTTGATGGAGGAGATGTTCGAGGAGGCGAGGCACGATTCGGCCAAGCGCATCCGGCTCATGGAAGAGCAGGCCAAGGCGGAGTCCGATCGTGAGGCGAAAAAGATGATCGCTCTGGCCATCGCACGATTGGCCGGGGACTTCGTCACGGAGCGGACGGTTTCGGTCGTGTCCCTCCCCAACGATGAGATGAAGGGCCGAATCATCGGCCGCGAGGGGCGCAACATCAGGGCCCTGGAAGCGGCGACCGGTATCGATCTCATCGTGGACGACACGCCGGAGTCGGTGATCATCTCCGGTCACAACCCGATCCGCCGCGAAATCGCCCGCCTGTCCCTGGAAACGCTCATCTCGGACGGCCGCATCCATCCGGGCCGAATCGAGGAGGTGGTTCGCCGATCCGAACGGGAGATAGACGACGTCATAAAGGAGGCCGGACAGAAGGCGGTCTTCGACGTCGGCGTCCATGGTATTCATCCCGAGTTGGTCAAGCTTTTGGGGAGGCTGAAGTTCCGTTACAGCTATGCCCAGAATGTCCTGCTGCATTCCATCGAGATGGCGTTCATCTGCGGTGCCATGGCGGCCGAACTCGGCCTCAACGAGAAGCAGGCTCGCGGGCGGCATTGCTTCACGACATAGGGAAGGCTGTGGACCATGAGGTTGAAGGCTCGCACGCCATCATCGGCGGCGAGTTGGCGAGAAAATACGGCGAGTCACCGAAGATCGTCAACGCCATCGCTGCCCATCACGAGGAAGTCAGGGCGGAAACCATACTGGCGCCGTTGGTGGATGCCGCCGATGCCCTGTCCGGCGCCCGTCCCGGGGCGCGCCGCGAAATGATCGAGACATACGTCCGACGGCTTGAGGAGTTGGAGCGGATCAGCAACTCCTTCAAGGGAGTGGAAAAGTCCTATGCCGTGCAGGCCGGACGAGAGCTGAGGATCATCGTCCAGGCGGCGCAGATTTCCGATGACGAGGCTGCATCCATGGCCCGGTCCGTGGCAAAGAAGGTCGAGAATGAAATGGCCTACCCA